GTGGTTTGCAGGCGCTCCACAGGGTTGCTGTCAATGTACATTTCATTTAGTTCTGTTCTGTTACGAGAAAACGATGTGCCCAGTACCCATCAGCTTAACGAGTAAGGCAGGGTCAGGCTGATTTTACAACTTTTCTGGCACTTACCCAGGAAGTTTTAATTGTTGTGTACTGCAGGAGAATTTTCTCCCTCTGCAGGTCCTTTGCAGTAAAGTATAGAGCAGTCTCTGTACTGACCAGGTATAAGCACAGCACTGATTTGACTGAATAATAACTAAAAGCAGCTGTAAGGGAAAGGTCTGAAACAAGGAAGCACAGTTGCAGACTCCAGTAAACAGGTTTCCCCTGTATTGCCTGAATCTCCGAGCTAATTGAGGCAGATGGGAAATCCAGTGCTGGATTGCACCTACACCTGGAGGTCACAACTCCTCCATCCACTGCCTGATGTGGCCGCTGGAGACACCTGGAGCAGTTAGCCCCGCAGACCTCATTCTCTGCATGGAAAAGGGGTGGTTTAGTTTATGTTTACTTGTCCATTACTAGAGCTTCTTGTTCCCTGTGACCGAGTGCTGGGACTTCAGGCAGTAGCAGGGGAGAGCTGGTTGCTTCCTCTCTCTACGTTTTTCCCCCTCCTTTATTAAATTATGCTTCTAGTATTTGTTTCATAAGGATACAGTTCTGATTTCAGGATGCATTTTCTTGTTTACTGAATCGTTAAGGCACTAGTGACACTTTACAAATCATGTATCACAGCATGCAGTTACTGTAGATAACTGTAGCCCACGGAAAACGGTGTGCCTGGAGTCCTCATGTAATAAGGATCAATAATTCAGGTGACAAAATCGACTATAAGGCTGGGTTTTCTAGGTTAATTTGATCTGTATTCCCTATCAGTTTATATCTTTGATTACCAATAAGAAAAATGCATCCTTGCACTATCCCTCAGATGACTCTTCTCTGAGTTATAATTTAGGATTTCTCCCCCATCCGCAGGCTGTTGTCAGCCCTGTGGTGGGGAAACGTGGGGCAGCGCTTCTGAATTGTGCAACTGTGGGATGGCAGTGGGTGTAGGCCTGATGGGACGGGTGTACCTGGACCCACTGTGATACGTGGTTGGCTCACCTCAGGCTCCTTCTCCTGGCTAGGAGACAAATTAAATTGTCATCTGTCCAACTCTATCATCCCCAGGGATCAGACTTCCACTTAACCTTAATTATGATGCATGTATGGTAAGAGGGCAGTTCTGGTATGTCATGCTGATGCTCCTGTTTTGTGAAGTACGGTGCTGATATTCCACAGAGACCTTATGTCTCATTATCATTATATAAATAATTTACCTGACATTCGGAGAGCCTGAGTCTCCCCTTTTCTCGTTTTCAGAGGTTCAGGCAAAACACAAGGTCTTTGTCACCTTAAACCTGATATCATTCTGGGCCTGCGCCTAGCATAAGTTAATGGGCACCTAGTTTTGCAGCTACAGTCCGCAGCAAGGTCATGTTTGTGGTTCTTTGAACTTCAGACTATCGAAAGAACTTGCTGGTCAACACTGATCCGAAGAGTTGAATTTAACACTGGGGAAGTCCTGAAGGATTTGGAGAAATCAAATGTTACATTGGCATTTCTAAAAATAGGTAGGATGACTTGTCAACTATTTGCCACTTAAGCTAGCTTCCATCAAAGGAAGAAGTCATGGAAAGCTGTTGATAAGAAACGTCTAAGCATAATCAGATCATTCAGCATATTTACATCTTGTCAGGCAAACTTTGTCTTGGTCTGGTGCTAGCCAATGGCTGAGTTAGCAGAAAAAATCTTGCATAAAAATTGTAAATAAAATAATAAAGAAGTAGTATGGTAAATGATGGAAATATTTTTATCTGTATAAAATCAGTGTCTATATATTTTACACAAATGAAAGAGAATGTAGGTCACATTTACTGGAGTGACCTGACATCAAAGGAGATGTATGCACAAGATCATCTACTGACTGTTATTAAATCTACTGTTTCATTAGGGTTTTGACATAGCTCTTAAAAAATACGTTGTTTTGATAATAGACTTAGAGTGATGGATAACTTATCTAGGCCTGTTGATACAATACATCTTTATCTATATTGCTAACAAAAATAAACCATGCTTTCTGCATACATCAGCTGAGGTGAGAGGTGGACTTACAGGGACCTTTGTTGAAGGCTCTGGCCCTTGTCATGCATGATATCAGACTAGATAATCGTGGTTTTTTCTGACTTGCTTGTTGCATGTCTCTAAGGCAAATGGTTTGTTCAAGCATCATCAGCCACTAAAGAAGACATTTGGTGTTTGATTTCTTAGAAAGTCAGCCTGGATCCTTCAGTGCATCCTGCTCGGAGGTGTCCCTACACTAGCAAAGAGTGTCCTTTTACCACTGGCTCTTCTGAATGAAGATGAGACAGTAAATCCTGCATGGACTAAAGATTCATGTGAGAAAAGACACCTCCATCAGTCCACTGAAAAGCTCTGAGTGAGAGCCTTCAATTCACCTGGCACCAAAATTGCCTGCCTGGCCAGGGTTTGGGGAGCATGTCTCTGTTTTGAATTCCTAGGCTCTGCATATGTTTGAGCCAGCTGTTTCATGCAACTGTGGCCTCGCTGTTGCATTTCTTACCAACCAGCTTTAGCTTCTCTCCTACACGTGAGAATTACTCTGCTCGAGGGGAGGACAGTACGAGCCGTCACAGCCAAGCTCTAAGTCTCTTGTGCTGGCCTTGGTGCTGGTTTGCAAGCCCTTCTTCATGCTCCTGTGTTAACTACCCTTCAGAGAAAGTAATGCAAAGTAATTCATTGCAACATCAAATACTGCCATCTGCCAGGAATCTGTATGCACCCGTCAAGACCACTAGACCTAAACTTAGTACTTGTATAGAGCAGTGGACTGAGATAATCTGCATTAACACCATCGGTGCCAGAAGCTGTGCATCACACTTTTAAACTGACCCTGCGCGAGTGGCAGTGCCATGCTGTTGGCCAGCCACTGGTCAGCAGCCAAAATGTAGATGTTTCAGGCACTAATAGCTTTTGGTGCATGACATACGCTGCGTCATTAGGCAAAACAATGGCTTGTTAGCCCCATCTCCTCCTGGTGATTTAAGTGTGTTCAAGAGCTACTCAGCAGAACGACTGCTGTACTGCTGTTGCAGGAGAGGAATTCTGCCGTACAACTGCAATCTGTTATTTGACAACTAGCCTTGAGCAAAGTGGCTGTCCCAGATAGGGGAGGAATAAAACCCACTCTCTGACCCTCCAATGTGTATCACATTTTCAGGGGAGTGCAGATCTGTCAGAGCGTGCCTGGGGTTTTCAGCCCCTTATTCCTAACGTGTCAATAATTTTCTTTGTCCATGACAGGTGATGTGGAACACCATCTCCTGTTTCTGCAGGCAGGGAAAACAGAGTAGTTGGCACAGGTGGTTTCAGGATTGCACCTTCACCCCCCCACTTGCTGAGTACTCCTGTATCTGGTAGCCCATCTTCAGCTTCATCTTTGAGGCTGCTACTGGCTGAGAACAGCTCCAAAACCAGTGCAGCGCAGTTCACTGGAGGTGGCACAATCCCCTCTCTAGTCCTGGGACTACCACTAAGTGGAGGTAGGGCTGGAATGACCCTATAGATACTGCTCCCTGGAAGGCTGCGTGAACAAGTGGCCAGGTGTTGTAGTGCCGAGAAGCAGCGCTTTTCTTGGAAAGGTAACTTCTCTCTTTCCTCATCTGTGGCACAGGCTATTAGGAACGGCCGTCTGTGTGGTAACACGTGAAAGCCAGTAATGAGATTGCACGCCATTAGAAAAGGGATGTCTCAAGCTTCTCCTGGATCCACTTCAGGTGTTCCCAGTCATATAAGACCTAATGAAGAAGTCCTCACTGATCCAATGCTATGGTCTTGTGTAGCAAGACAGGAATCCCCTCTGTTCGCAGGTCTGTTTGCAATACACAAAGGGGAAAATAAAAATCTTCTTGGAGAATCATGACCAGTCCCTGAAACAGCCACAGTTGATATATTCTGTGCTGGGTACAGCAACCCATCTGGGTACCACTGGTAGTTTCAGGTGACCAGAGTCTGGCCAGATGTGTAAAGAGTAGCTATGGCCTTTCTGCTTCATTTCTTTAATGGATCTGGTGTTTCTGAACACCTGCAACAGTGTCTTGATAAAAAGACAAAGGAAGCTTGTTCCTTCGTCACGTCACGCAAGGTAGCACAGATCACACAAGCTCCTCTCTGCTGTAAGTTGGGCATCCCCCATGCAAAATTCCTTCAGCCTGGATGGGCAGTGAAGCAAGATGGGCTGGAGCTGGATAATATAAGTGCTCTGCCTGAGTCCATCTGAGAAAGTCTCTTCTCTGGATATGGTGTTCTTTGGGTGCAGGAGCAGGTTTTCCAACCAGGAATGCAGTTAAAACCTCACTGATGAAGAATGGAGTTAATTTCACTAATGTAGATGTCCATCAGCAAATGGCCCTCTGCTCCTGAGCTAATAGTCTCCTGTAGGACCAGTATGAAGAGGCAGCACTCTGGGGCACTGAAAGCAGGTGTCTGCAATAGCACAGGTGGATGGGGCACATGTTTTCTTTCTCTGCTGGCTATGAAGGAGGCCTGGAAGCTGCTAACTCCGACATAGACATACAAGGAGGGAGTTCCACCCCTCCTGGCATCGTTCATAGATGTTGTTCTCGTTTCGTCTGTGGTACTGGAAGATGGATTGAGGCTTTAGGGACCTTGTGGGAAGATACGTGATTCTGGGAGTCACACATGTCCGGGAGGCTCTGGGGCCATCTTGGGGTCTAAGCTGATGAACACTGTAGACATGTGGCATCAGCTCTGGTTCCTGCATTGAAGTCAAGCTCAGCCTTGCATACGTGTTCTTTCTGAACCGATATATAGAGATTTTCCTAGGCTCCTGGACATTCTTGTCCACCTTCTGCTTGCTTTTTGCCACACTGTCTCAATCTGTCTCTCTCTTTGTGTTTTGTAGCTGAAACCCCAATTGAGGAGTTCACCCCAACCCCAGCCTTCCCAGCGCTCCAGTACCTGGAATCAGTGGATGTGGAAGGTGTCGCTTGGAGAGCAGGGCTTCGGACGGGAGACTTTCTGATTGAGGTGAGCCCGGACATGGCAAGGAGAGTGACCAATGGCTGCCAGCAGCATCTTCCTCTGCAGGACAAGGGCCTACATCTTGCATAAAATTATTTTCCTTTATAAGGTGTTTTGAGAGCTGTGTAATAATTGTTACTGAAACGCGTGCTGCCTGGATGTCTTGATGAAAAAATGTGCTTCAGGTACAATAATTCAAGCAGATACATGTTCTCTGTGCTAGAAGATGAGCTGACAGGTTCCCTTCTGCTAACTGAAATTATGGGGAGAATGGAGGTTGGAGAAGAGACTCATTAGATGCCCTCCCTGGAGGCCTATCAGGATTGTTTTGTACTGATATTTATCACAGCTTTGCCCAATGTGGTACAAGTATTGGGGTCTATAGAGAAGAATTAGACTGACCAGGTACGTAGGGCCCTGCTCTTCCGTCTCCCCCTTGGCCATTTCCCTTTCTCAAGAAGGCGATGTTAGAGGCAGTGTACTGCCTTCACTCTGCTCCGAGGCCACAGCCAACTGGATTTTCCTGATTACGTTTAAAACAAAGGAAAGCAAGGATTAGAGTCACTGGCAACTTCACATTAAACAAGTGGCTCGAGGGCTCAGCAGCAAGGCACAGCGAGGTGAAATAGAGGTGCAGTCTCCCCAGGGCACAGGCAGGAGACTTAGGAGAAAACCGGGGTAGGGCTCTCAAGGTGGCTGGCAGGTCTCCAGCAGTGACAGCACTTGCTTGCTCCCACAGCTTGGCATTATTATTTTTTTGTTATTGTTCCTATTAGTGTATACCCAGAACCACAGCGACAGGTCAGGAAAACATCGTGGTAGGTGCTGTGTGGTGCACGGCATCTGCGCAGTACGGGTGGTGATGGCTGTGTCCCAGCACATGGACAACGGGGGTGCTCCCGTGCTGGTGCTCGCCGCCTCTGGACAGTGCAATGACACTGCAAGGAGCAGTCTCGGCATATCGGCTGCTTCATCTTGCAGTGAACGCAGCAGAGGATAGTTTTAAGGAGTGATTTAAAAGAGAGTGATAACATTAATTTGTTAATATTTATAGGGACTCTCCTTGCTATAGGAGGAAAGTGTAGGAGACATTACTGTAGTACTTGGAAGTGAAAATTATGTTCAGAATCCATGCCAAATGGGTATGGTATGAATAGGCCAAGTCGGCATTTCTTAAAGCCAGGGAAAAGGCTGTTACAATAAGGCAGCTGAGAAATGATTAAAGTGTTTGTGAATCACTCAGTCAAGATGCCTTAATTGTACAAGGATCCCAGAGAGTTTGTTTCAAACAGAGATGTATACACTGTCAGTGCAGGAAGGGATGTGAGATGAATCCTGCCCCTTCCAAGGGAGCAACGGTGGCAGAAGAGGTGGAGTGAGGCCAAATTGACACTGAGCCTGTGAAACAACCGTGCATTAGATGGGATGGTGTCCCGTTTTCAGCTGGGATAGAGTTAATTTTCTTCCCTTTTTCAAAAACTTCTCCTGGGGAACTTCGTGTGAAGGTTTGAGGTGGGTGGCATGGTCAGGCTTCTCTGCATTTTCTTCCTTCAAAAACTTCTCCTGGGGAACTTCGTGTGAAGGTTTGAGGTGGGTGGCATGGTCAGGCTTCTCTGCAAGTCTCCTCACAGCAAGTGCCAAGCAGCACATACCGGACAGGTAGTCTGTACAGTCAGAGGAAGGGCTGGCATCCTGTGGGATTTTGCTTTCTCACATCTTCCCATGCAAAAACCATAAGGCTTTAAACCCAGCAATGCAGTATATGAAATCTACATTGGTCCAACATGGTGGTGGTGTGGTGTAGGTTGTGGTTGTGCGTGGTGTAAGGCAAGCAGAGCTGCACGCATCTGGCAGGTGGACGTATGAAGTTGTACTGGTTGTGGAAGTGCTCCTGGGACTGGGGAGGCGGGTGATGAGGCTTTGCTCAGCTCAGCTGCTGCGATGCACTCTGCAGTCTGAAGCTTACACTGAAAAATGTTCTTTTCCAGGGGTGGTCATCACCTCTGTCCTGGGCAGTTGGTCGATGCACCCTGGAGCTCCTATCAGTGCTCTGTAAGATCTTTCTAGCAATACTTTTTCTGGAGCGAGTACCTCAGACAGTGATGGACTTGACGTTGAATGCATAGTTGATGGAAAGCCTGTGCCCAAAGCAGGGACCGTCTGTGATGTGTCCGTGATGAGGTGCTGCATATGCGGTGCCCTTTGTCCAAAACGGGGAGTCCCATGGGTGGTGCCGTGCCCACGTGCATGGCGCTGCTGCAGGCCAGGTGGGAGGACCAACAGCCAATGTGCGGGGACGCGCAGCTGCGTGCTGCCAGGAGCACAGGGAATCCCACGGCTGGTGGACCACAGGGGGAAGGGGAGAGAGAAGCCAGGCTTTGGCCTGGAGGACCTCTCATCAGAGGTGCAGGTTGGCACTTGGCCTTACTTCCAGTGGGAAGAGCACACCTCTCCTCTGCTCTCCTTTCTGCTGTTAGTGGGGCGCAGATTTGCTCTCCATACCTGCACCAAACCTTCTGGAGAGCAGCTCCCAGTGGGGCCACTTGCTCTGTCCATCCTGTGTGTGGGCACAGTTCTCACAGCTGGAAAGTCCTCCGAAAGCTGTGAGCAGGAGGGTGCTGGCAAAGGCTGCGTGACCCAAATAGCCTGCTGCCAACAACGTCATCTGCGTTGGTGTGTTTTCTGCAGCCTCTAAAGAGTGCCAGTGAAGTACCAATTGTCATAAACCTGACAAAATCATTATAGAGCTGATACTTTTTCTGATATGTAGTATTAGAAACATTACAAAGCAAGGAAGAATTTCAAATGCATATAAAGTCACGTGGGGTGCAAGGAGGAGGTTAGTGCTGCAGTAGAGCAGCCTCGTCCTGGCTGAGACTCACAGTCCTTCTCCCTTCCCTCCCAGTTTGAATGTTCAGCTGCAGAATAAATGTACTTAGCTGGTAACCTGCCCCTAGCGGGTTACCATTTCCTTTGGATCAGCTGGCTGAGCTGATGTCCCCCGTGGCTGCATGATCATTAAATCTATGGCAAGTGGAGCAATAAGCATGTGTGATTTCCCTGGGAAAGGAAGCTGGAGGTGGGTTTAGAATGAGCACAGCAACTTTGCCGCACTGTAAAGCCACATCCCGAGGGCAATATTCAGAAAGGGAGATGTTGTGATACAGCTTGAAGCCTTGTACAGGTCTCCGGGACCTTCTTCATCAACCTGTCCAAGTGTATGGATTAGAGATGTGTTAAATTTAGATGGAAGGTGCATGGACATTTTAAGTGTGAGACTTCATTTCCAGCCTTGTAACTTGTAGCCTGAGACCATCTCTTGCTGAAATTAATCTTTAGTCTTTTAGCTTTAAAGCTTTCTTAGTATTGGAGAGCAGTGCTAGACAGCCAGATACGTGTAAGGTTTTTTCACATTGGAGTTAGCAAATTCAAATAAAGAAGTGCAGGTGGGAAGTCCTGAGAGGTGTTTGCAGGCGGGGAAGTGTTTGGTGGCAGTGACAGTCTCCACGTGAGAGCTGACCTTGCCCAGCCGTGAGGAACAGCTCCTCTGGTACCACAAATGGCTCTTTCATGCAAGGATCAGGTGGCAGGGACACTGCTTACAGCTCCAAGCAAGCGCTGACCTGCCCTAGTCTTCCTCACACTAATTCAGCAATTAAATCAGCTTCTGAAGCTGGGAGAGGGGTGGCTGGCCATGGATGCTGGAGGCAGTCCAGTGGATGCTCCAGCAGTTCCTGTTCCTCCGCCAGGCTCCCCTTTGGGGTGAGGAGTGAGATGTGTTTCTGTGGGGCGTTGGCATGAGGAGCCAGCAGAGCTGCCCGACAGGTTATACCTGGGAGCCCAACTGATGGTGACTTGAAAGAGGCAGCGAAGACCATCCAGAGAAGGAGGTGGGCAGAGGGGAATCTGCTCCTGAAGTGGGAGCAGAGCTTCAGGAAAATTCAACGTTTAGCATTGAGGCTTTTTGATGGATTAATACCAACCTACAACACCTGTAGTACAGGACCTGACTTAGTTGTACTGTGTTTAAACTGCGATGTCCTAGCCCTCTGGTCAAGCCTGCTGTGCCACACTGCTTCCCCAGCCTTTTTAGCCTTTCATTTCTCACCAGCACCTTCCATATGAATGGAGGGCCATGACTGGCCTGCACCAACGCGACAGGCTGAAGTTGGCAAGTGAGGGTGTGTTGATTCTGGCTTTGTCAGTGAGATCCATGGGATGGCTGTATGGAGTTCAGAATACTCATTTGACAAGCGTTGGTGTCCTCATCTGATACTTTCTTCAGCAAGACTGGTCTCTGTTCACATTTAACTAGGAAACCTCTGCTTAATTTTGTGAAGGTGGAAAATTTCACCAGAATCCTCCAGGAGGAGCAGACAATCTTGAAGAAGGCAAGTGAGAGCTCCCTGGTAACTGTTGGGACATCTGGTCGCCCAATAGATGCAAGGCTGCTGCAGCTCCACATTCCCTGGTTCAGTCAGTAGCCAGGCTGAGCATGCGTTCCCGATGGGGACACATACACACATATGCACAATATACACGTGAGCACACAGCCCGGCACACGGATCAGAAAACACACAGCATCATGCAAACACAAACAGCACAAATGGCCTGACCCTGTTCCTCCCCGACTGATCAGAATGAAAGCCTGTCAGAAGAGAATATATACATATATGCATATGTGTATACAGTATGGATCCCTCTAGTAGCTGGCCTTGGACCTCCAGTCTGCCCAGTAGCTGGCCCCTAGCTCCCCCAGTCTCCCCAGTTGCTGGCACCTGAGCGTGTGAACCCCTGAGACCCACTTGCTGGTACTCGTATCTCTTGAGACACGTGCACACACATGTGCACTGGATTCCTCAGATGTTAGACATTTGGTCTATCCAGCAGTTGGTCTCCAGTCCCCTGGTCTCCCCAGCTGCCTAATGCACAGGCACACACAAACACAAACCAGTCTCCCTGGCAGACGCTCCAGACACAGGGCCTTACCAGTAGCTGACTCAAAC